GAAGGAGAGAAGGGGTATGAATGGTGTGAGTGGTGAGTGTGAGTCAGCCATACCCATCCCTTTTTAGGCTAAATATTAGGCAACAGCCGCCCGAGCAAGAGAGTAAGAGACAGTTTTTGTTTTCTCCTTATCTGAATTTTGATTTTTTGATGATGGATCGGAACCATCTTTCTCTCTCTGTTGCTGTGGTGGTGAGTGAGTGTGTCAGAAGATGGATGAATGGATAAAAAAGGTGAAACTTGCCTCGTAGATACCGCCTTCTTCCATTTTCAATAGATTATTATTATTAATAAGATCTTAAGTCATATATGGCGGCAAAGAAACTGTACGAGTCGTTTTCTAAGGAACTGATTGAGGAAGTTCATCGATGGGGTTCGATGAAACAAACTGGTGTGAGTCTCAAGTACATGATGGAGTTCGGTTCCAAACCCACTCCCCGTAATTTGCTTATTTCATCTCAATTCCTTCACAAGGAACTCCCTATGCGCATTGCTCGCAGGGTTATTGACCTACAAACTCTTCCTTATGGTTTATCTCTCAAGCCTGCTGTTCTAAAGGTACTCACTCACTCACTCATATACTATTTAAATTACTCTCTTTTGTTTCATTTGTTATAAAACCTTTCTTTCTTAATTAGGTTCGGGATTGGTATTTGGATTCTTTCCGTGACCTTAGATCCTTTCCAGATATAAAAGATGAGAATGACGAGTTGGAATTCACAAAAATGATTAATTTGGTTAAAGTACGACATAACAATGTTGTACCTATGATGGCTTTGGGAGTTCAACAACTAAAAAAAGATCTACACCCTAAGATTGATTATAAGGATTTGGATGAGATACACCAGTTTCTTGATCGCTTTTACATGTCTAGGATTGGCATCCGAATGCTTATCGGTTTCTCTCTAATCTTCTCTTTACTACTATTTTTTTTTTCAATTTTACTTGTGCATATTGTGCCATTTCTTACTACATGAATTCCTGTCGAACACAGGGCAGCATGTCGCTCTACACGATCCTAATCCACCTCCTGATTGTGTGGGCTATATACATACAAAAATGTCCCCCTTGGAGGTTGCACGCAACGCTACAGAGGATGCCCGTTCTATTTGCTTGCGCGAATATGGAAGTGCACCTAAGGTCAACATTTATGGGGACCCAAACTTTACATTTCCGTACGTCATTTACTCCTAATTCATTGTCGTTATCCAGTAAACTAGATGTATCAGGTTTACCATTTTAGTTCCATGGTATTCTATGTTGCCCATGTCTTTCTCTTATTCCGTTAGTCCCAAAAATTTTTATTGATGTAAATGTTCAAAACATAACTCTAGTTGTTGTGGAAAGTCTTGTTTCCCTTGCTTTACATTTATTCTTCTATATTTTGGGGATTCATGACAGCTATGTGCCAACACATCTGCATTTGATGGTTTTTGAGTTGGTTAAGAACTCCTTGCGTGCTGTGGAAGAGAGATTTGTGGACTCGGACAAAGTTGCCCCACCTGTTAGAATAATAGTTGCTGATGGACTAGAGGATGTTACCATCAAGGCATGATCCCTTCTCAATTGTCCTATCTAACAACTGTATTATATTGTCTCGGACTATTTGCTTCTTTGTTCTAAGGACGCTCACTCTTTTCCTACCCATCCTTATCAAGTGTTGTTTATGTGCTCTGTAGATTTCAGATGAAGGGGGTGGTATACCAAGAAGTGGTCTTCCCAAAATTTTTACTTATCTCTACAGTACTGCCAGGAATCCATTGGATGAGCATTCAGACCTTGATACAATTGATTTGGCTACTGTGTCTACGTTAGCTGGTTATGGATATGGACTTCCAATAAGTCGTTTATATGCTCGCTACTTTGGAGGGGATTTGCAAATTATCTCCATGGAAGGCTATGGTAAGTTACAGTACCTCTCGCCCTTGTTTGCATGAATTTCAATGTTGTGTCATCGTATTTGCTTATCAAGGACCCGAGTAATATCATGTTACTAACAAAAGAATTGGTCACTTGGCTGGACACACCTATACAAATTTCAGATGTTTCTTGCCTCACGTAGATATAAGTAATCTTGTACTATAATTCAAAGGCTGAATAATCTAATACACACCTCTACTTGTACGAATTTGACATCCTGCCACCTCTGTTCCACAGAGTTTCATCCAAACACCTATGTTGTTGAAACACACTAATTTAAACCCTTTCGAGCATTGATTAAGCATATGTGGTAACTTGACGGTGGAGTTGGATGAAATGAGTATATCATACGTGTCGCGTCGCATCAATTCGAAACTTAGAAATAAGAAATGAATAAAATGAGAACCAAAAAAGGACATAAAAAAAAGGGAATTCAAAACTTACACTTCGGAAAGAACACCCAAAATGGTGAGGGCAATCTAAAGAATCAAACTTGACAACTTGAATATTCAGATCTAAAGCATAAAGTAAACAATATATATTATCAAATTTGATAAGAAAGTCAGTTCTTAACTTAAACACGAGAAGAAGATCCATACCTAGCTACAAAAATCGCATCAAATAAAGACTAAAAAGAGATAATGAAGAAACTTTGCAGAGGGTCGAAACGGCATAACCCAAGGAAAGCCACAAAAGAAAATAGGAAAAGAGAAATCTACCTAGCTAAACACCAAACCTCATTATTATGTGCATTATTCTTTTTGATTTTTCCATTTAGAATAGTTACTGTTGCAAATAGATAAAACTTTCTTTTAATGTTTTTTGTGTGATGGTGGTTGGTAGAAGAGGGAAAGAAGGGAACGAGTCAAGAGGGGAGAAAGGTTTGGGAATTTGTTTTCTTCTTTTTTACTTTTGAAAAAAAGGGACGGATTTGGATTTTTTTATATAAAATATAATTTTTTATATAAACAAATGATTATAGGCGTTAATTTATCTGAGGTGGATGTGATGTGTCCTTTATGTCAAGGCGAGTGAGCAACTCACAAGGTCAGAGGCATTTTAAAGACTTTGACAGAGTTTAGGTGTGGCAGGAACCCCGTGAAATAGTGATTATGACTTTATTTAAATCCTGGAAATATCTTCAGCTGGTTTGTGAATTAAGATCTCACTGTGTTGATGTAAACACATTCTTTAAGCCCTTGCATCTGTGTTGTTAAAATTGGACTAAATATTTAGGACTTGTGAAGGTTGTAAGAAGCTGTTATGTGTGCATCTCTAGCATCTGATTTTGGGGGGTGAATGCACGAACTGAAATTATGTAGATAATGAGTCGACTGTCCACCCTATTAGCTTTTATCTTGTCGATAGAGAAGATATATAAATGACAGAAGATTATGACTAGATGGAGTAGAATATGAATAGTTTTTGTTATGGTAAAGTTAAACTTAAGCACTATATTGAATAAGAAGATATACTTTAGTTGGCTTCAATTGTTGATGTCTTTAACAGGTACTGATGCTTATCTGCATTTATCGCGGTTGGGAGATTCGCAAGAGCCATTACCTTGATATTTGATGGTGGGAGAGAACTCCTCTGTAGATATTTCAATTCAAGAAAACAGTATTATTGCATGAAACGATACTATGATGTGCACTGGGCAATCTGATATTCATCCTTTTCATTTTTTTTCCTTGTTATTACTGTGGTGTCTTGATAAATTTATGTACACTTCAACTAGTTCTATGCTCGGGCAAAGTCAATGTGTAGCTTGCGGGTTCAGCCAAGGGCAACAATGTGTAGCTTGCGGGTTCAGCCAAGGGCAGTAGCTTTAGTCTATATTCTCTGTGTTCAAATAATAATTGAGAACCCTGTTCGCATTTTTTTGTTTCACAACTAGAATTTCCTCCTCTATATCATTTCCCTCTTGCCAATGTTCCTCTTCCCTTAATCAGAAATCATCACAATTCATATATGTTCAATAATATCGAATGATTTAATCACTATCAAGTCGATTTTTATTAATATCAGAATATAAACATATGTTACTATGAATAAAACACATAGAAAAGGTTAAAACTAGTATTGTTGGGGTGCTCTAAAGAAGAGAATCCCTCCAAAAATTGGCGTATGCCACTAATTGCAGCAACACGGTATTCTTTAGTAAAAGGCGAAATAATAGTTTGCTTTATGCTCACTGCGTGCTGCGTGAGACTTACTGCTAATCTGTGCTTCAGTTTTACACTGGGGCAAAGTTTTTATTTTATCGTTGTTTATGGATGTGCTATTCACTTCACTCACTCCTTTATAGTACTGTTCTCTGCTTCTTTTTCAGTAACTTTATGATTGAAAATCTAACAGCTTTTTCAAATAAAAACTACTTAAGCTGTCCTGTTGTATACTTTCTCGATCAATTAATTTAAGATATGATTTCGCTTTGGTATCTTTGTGATTATAAGGACATATTTTCACAAGATGATGGATAAAATCAAACTGAGCATCTTGAATAGCTGAACTCGAATGCAGGTTGTGTTTTTAAAAAAATTTATAATAAAGGACCTAACTGGCAGAAGCAAAAAACAAAGCAGTTTTCTGTTTTTTACTTTAAGTTGGCCTTATAATCTATGTTGCTCGAACTTTTGTATGCTAGTGCATGTACCTATGTTTAGAAGATCTTAGAGCTTCCGTCTAGTTTGGATCATTAGGGCTTGACGTGTCCACCCGTTGGAACCATATTTATATCCAATTGAAACTGATTTCGACATCACTCATGACGGCCCTGATAGTTAAAAGAAAGGATTTTCAAAAATGAAGAAATTGAAGGTGTGCCCCAGAGTGCTTCTGGCAGGGGGGAAATCATTCTGTATGTTGTAAAAGTTTGAAGGTGAAGCATTCATCAGCTACAATAACGGTTTTGTCAAGATTCAGTAGTCAGCTTCTCGGGAAGAAAGATGTTAAAAAGTCAGAGTGACATTTGAATGAAAGCTCCGTTTTATCAATCAATCAGCCAAGTGATTGCTCACAGCATCACACTATTGGTTATTATAGATTCTACCAATGGTAATAAATTTTATTTGAGGATTGGTAGGGGCAGCGCGAACGCAAGCCCCCTCTATAACAGATTATGACAAAGGCTCGGCCACTTGGATCGACCTTAGGTAGGAACCCTCCAAAGAGTAATGGAGATCACAAACCTAGGCCATGGGTCTTATTCATCGCCGATGAATGATATCTGCATATCATTTACAATAGTTCGGGAATATATTTGTCGCTTTTCCCTATTATAATATCAGAATATAAACATATGTTATTAAAATTAGTATTGTTGGCGTCCTCTAAAAAGGAGAATCCCTCCAAAAAATGGTGTATGCTACTGACTGCGGCGCGCACATGATACTATTATGTGGATAATGAGTCCACCCTAATAACTTTTATCTTGTAGATAGAAGTAAAATATATGAATGACAAAAGATTATTACTACATGGAGTAGGATTTGAATTGTTTTTTATGGCAATGGTATGCTTAAGCACTACATTGAATAACAAGATATACTTTAGTTGGCTTCAATTCTTGTTGTCTTTCAAGATAACAAAATGTGTTGCACTATTTCCTCTTCATCATCGCCTATTTAAACAATTTTTGAAAACAATTTCTTACACACAAAATTATATATCCTTGGGTTCGAGTATTATTCATGCAAATTTTGCAATTGAAACTAAATTCAAATTTTAGATGTTAAAACTAACACTTTCAGTTGGAGTTTGAGATTTAAAAAAAAAATTAAAAATGTAGTTTCTACAAAAAAATAAAAATAAAAAATCTAAAATACCTTTGAACTAATAAAAATGATATAAAATAACCTTTCGTCCATCTATTAGTCCTCAAAAAGCTTTCACGTCATCTTTGGCTCCATATTATTCTTATTTTTAGTGATCCTCAATTTAAATCCACTTAATAAATTCATTAATGGCATGACAATCATCTATTGGTCACCATCATCTATTTAGTAATTTTCTACAATTTACTTTAGATCTCTTTAATTTTTTTTTTCAATTGGTACTTTCGTCACATATCACTCCTTCAATCTTGAAATTCAAATGCCTTCTTGCAATACATTTCAAAAGTAATTAAAGAGCCTACTAAACAACAGTTATAACAATCATATTTGAAATACACAATCACATATTTTTTTATCTCCAAAAAACAGTTAAATACGAAATGGTGTATAATATGGTTAAAAATTGGTGTTTACACCATCATCATGTACTAAAATAGAATCAAAATACACATCATCATCATCTAAAGATCAACTCTGAACGACACCAAAAAATTATCAGGATTAAACCAAAATAAAATTAATGTGTATACCATCATCTTGTAAAAAACCAACTCTGAATGACACAATAAAATCAAAATTACACTAAACTAATACAAAATTTATCACTAAATATGATTTCTATTCTAAACCTCAAAACCATACTAAACAAACCAAAGAATTAGAAAAAAAAAATCTGTCGCGACCCCAACCTACATCCTGGACGTGACCGGCACTCGAAGACCATTGTTGGTCCCCAGGTGAACCTCGTCCTTGCTGACTACAAGCGGAGACTAACTTAAGCATACAAAAACTTAAAACTGAAATGAACAACTTTGAATAAAATAATATATTCAACTAGCCATAAAATAGACAACTTCAGTCATTAAAACATTTAATAACATAAGTGATTAATGAGACTCTTCAACTATACTGACTATCTATGAAACCTCTAACTGATAATGATGAAAATCGGGACAAGACCCACGACATCCCGACTAAAGTGAAAAGTAAATGAAATCTTCCGGAAACAAGGAAGTTCACGATGGCTAACTCGAACTCTAGGATATATCAACGAAACTCCTATTGATGATCCTGAATACCTGTGTCTGCATCGTCAAAAGATGCAGGCCAAATGACTCAATACGTGGAATGTACGAGTATGTAAGGGGGAATTTTAAAGTGTAACATAAGCTTGATACTTGAATAAAAAGGAAACATACTTACCTCTTTTCAACTCAACTCAAATCAAGAATAAGATACTCAACTCAAAGTTTAGATATTCATCTCAAAGATATGGTACTCGACTCAATGAAGTATAGATTAACTCAAGATAGTAAACTTCAGATACTCAACTGAACTCAGTTCAATATAAAACAGTTTAAAACAAGTGCAATATAAAGTAAACTTGTTTAAAAACATGATGTCAACTCTGTGTTTATAATAAGGATACACCATGATTCTGAATTGTATATGAAAATACAATTAACTAATGTATATAAAAATACTATAACTGATGTGGTAGTTTCTCTACTCGGCAACTATCACTTAAAAGCTACAGTGATGATACATCGTTACTCGACCCACGTTGCCTAACCATCCTAACCTTTCCAGGGTATAGGACCTAAACCGCCTAATTGATCCACTAGTAAACTGTGAAAATGAATCATCTAAAAAGTATGACCCTTTTCTACCCATGATGGCTACATGGTTTATGGGGGGTGTGAGTTATATGAACTCTCCCCCATATCAATGCTGCTCAATACTACTCTAAAAAAACACTGGCTCTTATGTTTAAAAAAATATACCGATTTTGTGATTTGAGATTATGCTCAAAACATAGCTTTAAAAAGATCTCTTGGATATCATATTTTACTCTTTCTTTGAAAACATTTTGTTTAAACTCTTAGGGATAAATTAGTTCCCTTATAACTCTTGAGAACTGAATTCCACTTGATACTCCTTGCTTACTTGAAACTTTAACTCTCAAGGAATACTTAGTTCCTTTATAACCTTTGAAGAGAAAAATTCAACTTACTCTTTACTTAGCCTGAAACTTGAGTCTTAAAAACAAAGTTAAAAATGTTTAAATAAGACTCTTGAAAAACGCCTGAAACTTGAGTAGAGATACACTTTAAATGAGCTCAAACGGGACTACCGACGCAAAAGGAGTGGGGGCAGGCGGCCCTGACATGTTCTTGGCACGGGGAGCCAACCCCTAACACCAGAGAGTACATTTGGGCGCACTGCAGGCGCACCTACCCAGCCCTCTAGGCGCATCAGGGGCACGCCGCGCCAGCATCTCCCTAGGCACGTTTTCGACAAATTTTGCTTTTGTTTCTGACCCTAAATCGCTTTTAATCGCTTTCTTTTCTCAAGTTTTTCTTAGATTCAATTGACCAACCTAATTAAACACTAATACACTAAAAAACACTCCCAACAACCACTTTTACCTCAAGAAATCATCAAAACGCCAACAAGACAAGATCCACAATGAACCTCAAGAACACCTAACAAGAACTTAAATCCTTCAACTTTTTGAGAAAAAATTACGCTGAAAATACCATGTTTGGAGTGTGGGTGAAAAAATCCAAAACTATGGAAGCTTACATACCTCTTAGGTATTAGACCTATGGAGAAATTCTGCAAAAAGACGCAAGATATTCAATGAATACTTGATCTTCTCCTTTTTTTCTCTTCTTTTCTCTTCTTGAACTCTCAACTAAAACCTTAAGAGTTGGATTATGAAACTAAACCTAAAAGGATTATGACCCTAAAATATAAATAAAAACAAGTTAAATCTGATTGGGTAAGGAAATGATCAAAATACCCCTCACTATTTTCGGCTAACTTTCCTTAACTAGACAACCTAACTTCAAAAGGTCATATCTCACTCATCCGAACTCAAAATTTAGCAAAATTGGCGGCTTTGAAAAGATAATTCAAAGATATTTCATATGGTATCTTGTAACACACCTAAATCATCATGTGCTGAGAGTTATGGTCGTTTAAAGTTTACCCAAAACTCATACTTAACTCAACTTGCAAATTTTCAGATTTTTCCTATTTTCAATTTAATTCTTTTTGGAACTCTTGGTGCTAAATTTAGTGAAATGACCATAATACTTAAGAAATTTTTGATTTTTGTGTGAAATATCACTCACTACGATTAACGACTCAAGTCTTAGTTCGAAAAAAAATCTGGAGTGTTACAAAATCAATCATCATGTACAAAAAAACCCAAGTCTAAATGACACAAAAAAAAGACCTAGAATTGCACTAAACTAATTAAAAACGATCAATTTGACCAAATCACTTACCAAAACACATAATCAATAATTATAATGTATATTCTAAACCCCAAAACCATACAAAACAAACCAAATAATTAAAAAAAAAAATCAAAACACGAAATTGATGAATAACAACAACACTAACCTATTTTTGACCCATTAAACGACTCATTATTGACAAAATTCAATTTTGTATAATTTTTTTTTATTTATTCGATTGTTATACAAAAAATCCATATCAAACATGGTATACTACAACATAATCATCATGATTTCTCAATTCGAAAAATCACGTAAAAACACAAATTAAATATTGAATTATCAATATCAGATGAGAGTCAACGTCTTTTATGTTGAATTACGACTGAATAATTGTTGGTGTTCATAATTGAACAGTCGATCAGAATAAGTAGAAAGAGAGTTCTATTTTTATTAAGAAACCTTTTATTGACAGAAGAGAATATATATAACTAATTTGAGTAAATCATGTATGATAAAAGATTTGAGAAAAAAAAAAAGCAGAAATCGTGGAGCATTAATTAAACGTTTGCTTTTAATATTAAAATCTAACTTTTTTTAAAAAAACTATTGTTATGCAGGCAAAAAAGAGACTATTGCTATTTAGTAGTAATTTAAGTAATTAATTTGTATATTTAAGTTTTTTCCCTTATCAAAAGTTCTCATTATTCAAGAATGGAAGAGCATATTATTTTATGATATCTTAATACCTCATTCCTCATTCATATGCATTATTTAGTCACTAGTCTCTCTAAGACATAAAGTGCATTCTACCATATTCACATCAAGGAATGAAGCAAATTCAGTGAAATAACATTCATAACTTTACATCAAAGCACATTATTTTTCTGTAATCATCATTATATCATCAATATAGTGCGTTGGGACATAAATCTAATGCCTTACTCATATGAAGTCTTGATGGAATTTGAGATAATGCACCAAGATATGAACCTAATGTATTATCCTCTTGGTACGATTGAACATGAATCAATTGTCTTACTCTCACGATGCAATTGGAAATTACCTCTATGATGCGACGAAATTTAAATTCAATATCTTATATTTATGGTACATCAAAACGTACCCTTAACCTTTTAAATCTTATAATTAT